ATAATAATAAAATAAATAATAAAATACAATATTGGAATAATAAACTAATAAAATAATAAACTGTTCTATAACAATTCAATGTTGAATATATTTTCATAAGTTTCTTTTGTTCATAATTAAATTGAATTTGTCTTAAAGTATAGTTATTTATAATATTATTTAAAGGTTTAAGTTTATATTCTAATGATTTTATATGATTTCAGTAACTTTGTGAAGCTTTGAATTCTTTTTTGCAAATTTTACAAATATGTGCCATTTGTATTTATGAAATAAAAATTTAAAAATTAATATTTTATTTTGTATTAATAATTAAAATTTAGTAATAATTTTTGTAATTTATTATTAAACATATTTGATATAAATACTGATCTTTTTAATTTTTTATTAATTTTAAGATTTAAAAAAAAAATAAAATATAGCAAAAAAAGAGTAAAAAAAGTATTATTTTTACAAAATAAAAATTTAGTAAATATTACTCAAAATAAAAATTAAAAACTTATAACAAAGTGATATATCAAATACTGTAAAATGCTGACTCTTGTATCCGGGTATATACATTGCTAGTATTGTACCCAGGGTACTGAAGCAGGGGATACATTGTATTGGTGGGGGTATAAAATTCGGAATACATATTTTGTAAATGATTAACGTCATGCTGTAGAGTCAAATAAATTAATTAAAATTTTCTTATGATTAACGTCATAATGTAGAGTCAAATAAATTAATTAAAATTTTCTGTCATATTGTAGAGTCAAATAAATTTATTAAAAATCGACAAATAAAGTTATAAAATTTTTTTAATTTATAATAGCGTCATATTGTAAAGTCGAATAAATTTATCAATAATCAGTATATAAGAGCTACAAAATTTTTTGAGTATTTAATAATGGTTTTAAAGAAAATAAATAATATGAGATGGGCTCGTATTACTAATAAGATTCGTCGAAGTTGGTGTGTTCGTGAAAAGCTTATAGTTGTTTATTATTTTGAATGCATTAAAAATGTGCGAAAAACGGCTAAAGAGTTTGGAATCGAGCCTAAACAAGTTCGTGATTGGTGAAAAAAAAACAAAAACTTCTAGATGCTTTACCTCATGCTTTATCACTTCATCCTGGTCGCTCTGCACAATATCCAATTCTTGAAGAAAAGCTTTTTAACTGGGTTAAAGAATTACGTGATAGACAAAATACAGTAA